TTTCCGAAGAATTTTCTTTTTCGAGAAAACTGGCAAAAAGTGAAATGCTGCCCCACGCCATATAGTCGCCGGTCTAAAACCTTTGAATTATACCGTTTTCAAAGCCCTCGGGAAGAAAGACGGTTCAAGGAAACAAGTTTATCTTTGGCAGGTAAGTAAGGCATCTCAGTTACAGTACTATTTAGTAAAAATATTGCAAGATAATAAATTTTTTAATCGGTTAAAAAACGCCCGAAGATTCCTATCTTCAGCACATTCATAAGCAATTAAATTTTGCAAAACTTTGAAGGAAAAAATCACGGCTTGGTATATGGAATTTTGGAAGAATTATTATACCTCAGAAAAATCCAGCTTGGGCAATTAAAAAGCAACGCGCCGAGAGAGGTAAACGCGCAGTTCATTTTCGATGTTTTTGCATAAAACGTTGAAACCGTCAGGCAACCGCGGGTAACACAAACTCCATGAAATTGTATTCAATGAAACTTGCAAAGTATTCAAGGGATTATACTACTACATGGGAAATTTCTGCAATTTGCTTGGCTTGGAGCAGTGGTATTTCAGCTTAATTTGAAATATCTACATGTGAAAATTACAAACCCTTTGCGGGTAGTAGTATAAACAAATAATTGAGCATAATTTAGCATAAATACCACTCGTGATATTTCAAAATTGTCTCAAATTTCACTCGCCTGACGGCTCGTTAAACTACGTGTAACAATTTCGAAATATCACTACAAATCATGCTATTACCTATACAAAGTACTTTGATCCTTCTAAAATCGTGCTTTGTTTCGTGCCGTGAGTAGCAAAATATAACAAATGTTGCGCAGAAATTTCTATGCAAATGCATTATCCAACTGAAGTACATCTATCGATTCAAACGCCATGAAGGTTTGTAAAAGCTTAAAATTAGTTTCAAATCAGCGTGTTGAAACATCCACTTTAAAACGTTAAAAAGCAAAGGGTAACATGCTAATTCGAATTAAATTTAGACAGTTTTTTATAGACTGAAGTCTTATTAGTCGCGTGGAGTTCTATTCTTCTTCGAATAATAGCCAAATGTTGCGCCTGTCCGAGCAAGAACAATAACCCAGAAATGGATATACAGAGGGGATTTCTTGATTGACATATTCTCGCTACGTCATTTTTTAAACTTATTTTCATTTTTACCATCGACAATTATCAAAGAGCACGTTTCTGTGATGGTGCGGAAGCACTCTATTATTGTCATATTTCAGTCAATTCTACGATCATGTAGAAACACTGCTCTGAAGTTGCACAACGTTTTATCAAGGAAAAAAATTGAACCTGTTCTTTAGCAGCTTTAGACCCAGCTTTAAGTTTTCAAAAGTTAATCTTGCACTGTATCACAGCAATTTACAAGTCTCTTAAGTGCTTGGCGGTAATTACTGCTAAAAATGAGGCAGATAATCGGGTTGATAGCACAGCCGGTTTGTGTAAGATGTATAACCGGGGACAATTACGTATAGAACAAAACTACATCAAAACCAAATGGAACTGTCCGGTGCACTAAATCTAGCCATTAAAAAGTTACTGGAATAGGGTATCAAGCAAATGAAAAACACTACAACGGAAGCATACCCCCGGATAGCCCTAGGTGGCACAGGTTAACGCGTTCGAAGTCAACCCCCCACCCCCCGCCCACCAATTGTAAACTTGCCGCGCAATTCAGTCTCAGACAACCAAAGCTCCCCAACGCGTGAAAAACCATAGTAACGGTCGATTGACATCCTCCAAAACGCAGGTTTGAACCTGAAGAAAAAAATCTTTGAGGGCGCGTGTTAGTGGTAACGGCTGTAATTGGATTCCTTTTTATAGAGAGTCGCACATAAATCGATCGATGCGCACTCATTCACAAGAGACTTAAAGGAAACACTCCTGATTATAAATGAACAAACTTCTGGTTACAAATTCTAGCATAGCATGCGTATGAGGAATACAAGAAATTGTAATTTAAATTTGCTTTGTCCAAGATATAACTATGCGCGGAGGGTGGTCGTTCTTTTTCAGTTCTCTCTATTAAGGATTGGTACTCTATACCAAGATCTCTGAGAGTTTTGGACAGCTACTCACGTTTTTAAAAAAGCCTTTTAGAGAAATTTTTTGTTACTCCGAAAAAAGACTTTTAAAACTTGGCTTGACCACAAAAGGAAAAGATAAAATAATCCGGAAAATCCGTTCGATTGACCTGCTATTACAGCTCTGAAATAAGTGGAATAATTATTCCAAATATCGCCCAGGGGAGCAGAATGTTCGGAAGAAAACGGAATAATTACTTCATTTCCTTGCGGCGGCAAGTTTTCACCAACTCGTCAGTGACAATCATCAACATATAAATAAGCTAGGAAACGCATTCCGCAGAAACGGCTAGTTCTCTGGAAGAGAGAAAAAACTCTCAAGCTTATTATAACATTTTTCCTCACACAAAAAATGCGAAAAATATACTGAATTTTTCACTCGGTGTCAGGGTAACCCGTAATCCTAACAGTTTAACCTCGCTCGTTAAATCTCTTACAAAAACACAAGGCATGGTAGTAATAGACCTTTCCCGCATTTCAGTAAACAAATGCACCAACTCGAGGCTCGGGTGGACAAAATACAGCGATTTGTATGGTTCTGCACCCGAGCCTCGTCCTCATTTCTTTATGTCTGCTCACTGGAGCGGAATGCGGGAAAGTTGACGTAGTTATTCTTTTTCAATTTGGAAAAAGAAGAAATCTCATCGCTAAAATGTTAAAATACTTAAAATACCGTTAAGGTTGTATGTACACCATACAATAACCATTTATACAAAAGCAGATAATTATGATCCAAACATTAACATTTACGATGGCACGTCTCTTTTTACTACTCTTTTTTACACGTTTCTAATTCTCACTTTTAAAAACAACAGAACCAACACTAATTCTAACTTGGCTTGATCTCAACAGGAATACATAGAATAATCTCGAGAATCCTCCGTTCTACTGACCTTCTATTCCAGAGGAGAGGGGAGGGAGGGGAATTTTCGAGCAGCACGAATTCTTTTTCGCTATCAAATTCGTTGCATGAATTTTTTTTTTAGGCCATAGCATGAATATTTTTTTAGGAATAATTGGCGTGCACGATTTTTTTTTTTGATTTAATTTTCCCTTGCGCGAATATATATATTTTTTTGGCACATCGTTGCCCGCCCCCCTATAAGTTTTCTAATGGTCCGTCCCTTATTTGAGATAACTTAAATTGACTCCCTATAAACATGTCTTTAGTGTTCTTAACATTCAAAGTTCATTTGTTTGCTGACAGCAATGACTGAATTAGATTCATGAGGGTCTCAATGGGGTGGTGTCTTTTACGGTTATCGGCTAAAATTTTGGCTCTTTTACGGCTATCGGTTAATTTTTTGCAGTTACGGTTAACCAAAAAGTTAAAAATTAACTTCTTTTGTTTCAAAAAGTTAAATATTAATTAACCTGTATTTTTTGTATCTTTAAAGCAAAATAAAGGCCTTCGGATCAGGATAAAATAAGCTATTCTATTGAAAAATTTTCACATTTGATAGATCAATATATTTTTATAAAGTATTCCACTACTAATATTATATTACAGGTAGAAATGCCAATAGTGAGCAGACACGCGAACGCCCAACTCAAGGCCGGGGCGCGACATTCCACACTAGAGACGGCTTATTCGTGTGAGGTAATACGTCTCAATTTGAAAATGGAATAGTTTTAATTTTGAAATGAACAATCTCCCTGACTTTATCCGTCAATTTTGAAGTACGGAAGACGGATTATCCGTTACAGATAGCCTGTGTACAGCCGCAACCTCCTCGCAGAAAAAAATCGGAGAAAGGGTGTCTAACGCTGTGGAGGAGGGGGCGACTGTACACAGGCTAGTCTGGGTAATCCCTTTCTAGCTGTCCTGTGAAAACGGCCAATAACAAAATTCCCGTGTCCAGTGTTTTTAATGATAGCGAAGGGCTGTACAAAACGACTGCCTGTCGTTGCCTTGTCCGTAGACCTCATTATTCCGCGCGGCTAATGCGTTTCGGGTCACGTGGTCCGAGCGAGTTCGCCACCGAAATGTCTTGACCGAGATTGCGTGGAAAGACGCCGTACATGCAGGGACTAGGCATGGCAATGTCTACCGTAGCGTCAGAGGAAAACAGGAAAATGTTGTTTATCGGCAACGTGTTTTACAAACAGCTCTGCGTGTTGTTTCACTAGTGTTTCGAGGGCACGACCTTCTGAAAATCGCAAATATTAATTCCCAGCAAGAAGCCCTCTTTCGCTATAGGAAAAATTAGTTCTCCGAGATAGCGGCGAAAATGGAGCCTAGGTCTTGGTCAACACCTAAAAGGCTTTTCGCCTAACGTGCTTACGGAGTCAAAGTAGCCGGAAACTAAAAAACGCAACCATAAGTGAGTTAAGCACCTTGCTTAAAATTAACAAAGCTAGGGGACAATTTCTTTTACGGTTAACTCTTTTTTACCCAATTTACGGCTAACGGTTAAAAGTTTTCAAGTTTTACGGCTATCGACTAAATTTTTGGCCGTTTTACGCCTATCGGTTAACCCCATTGAGACCCTCATTCATGTCATATTACATTTTATGTTCCATTTCATGTTTTGTCCATTTCTCCTGGGTATTACAGCCGTCCTAAGAGAAATTGCATGCTGCATTAATTTTCGGTATTATTAGCTTTTACAGTAAAGTTATTAATATTGGTTGCTTTTTTAAAGAATCACTTCGGTCAGACCAGTGGCGGATCCAGGGGAGACTCCCCCCCTCCTCTTATTTTTAGACCAAACTAAGGCCTGAAGAGCCGAAAAATTTTTTTTTAGAGACTGCGCCCCCCTTATCTCAGGGTCTGGATGACCTTCCCCTCCCCCCACGTCCCATATCTGAAGGTCTGGATCCGCCACTGCAGACCTAGATTTCTCTTAACCTTGCACTGTACCACAGCAATTCACAAGTCTCCTAAGAGCTTGGCGATAGTTACTGGTAAAGGTAAGGCAGATAATCGGGTTGATAGCACAGTTTGCAGTTTGTGCAAGCCATAAACAAGGCGACATCAAGAGATACCCGAAACTTACAACCCAAATGGTTTTTGGGTACAAAAAGAGATGTTACTAACTGAATGGAAAAGGGTATCCAGCAAATGAAAAACGCTACAACGATAGCAACGGTCATCTTGAGCACTTTTCTGTTTCTTCTTGTTCTCTGTTCCTCAGCGCTGGCTGATTGTTCACCTGGATGGGCTTGCTTTTTAAGCTTGATCAGGATGATGGAGTAAAGTATCACCAAGACGACGAAGGGATGTAAAAGAACAAGATAGAAGCTGATAGGAGGTAAATACCAAACGAGCTTTTCTCTCCAAAGATCACATCCCACTGATTGATGCACCACTTTTCTCCTTGATATTCAACAAGATTGAAGTTAAACAAATATGGCCAACAAAAGAGCACCGCGAGTATCCATGTACCAACAATCAAACAGCGACACACCTTGCGACTGATGAGGGGTGAACGGAGTGGAACTACAACAGCTACATATCGATCCACTGTTATCAGAACCAGGCTCTGAATCGACACTACCATGGAAATTTCAGCAAGAAAAGGGTATATCTTGCACAAGGCCTGACCAAGGGTTCAACTAATAAGCCACGAGCCAACGTGCAAATCTGCCAGTGGAACAGGGAACAAGAATATTGGATAGAGCAGGTGGGACATGGCCATGTTTGCGATCAACATATTGACCGGTTTTCTAAAAGTTGGTGTTTTGTAAACAATTAATACGATGAGAGAATTTCCAACCAGCGAGAGTACAAGGATTAAACTATAAGCAACTGTTGCTCCAACTTTTAGTGCTTCTGGATTTATCAGACTGGAGCAGTTCGAATGCATTTGCTGTTGTGTTTATGCTTACTGGTTCTTCGTCAGGTCTTTTCGCTTGAAAACACCTTCTGGCGGTTCTTTGTCCCTTATATTCTACCAGTTATTATGTAAGCAAAGCTGTAATAGTTAAATCTAACTGTCAATCTAAATTCAATGGCTAGATCCATATCAAAATGTTGAATAAATTCTTCCAACAGGCGTTGATAGAAGCTGCCCACTTCCTTGTGAACCATAACATGGTTTTTATACAATGGTAACCATTCTCGGTCTCGTTTTATTCATTTTCAACTGCTTGGCTTCACGATTGTTCTGCTGGAGGACTCCCCTAACCTGGCCCCTAAGTAAGCCGGGGTTTATGTCACGATATTTTCTCATCGTTAAGCAAAAAATTGACCTAGAGCAGCAATATCCTTGTGACGTAGCTCTCTCATGCAGCTGGTACCTAAAATAAGGAAAATGCAAATATTATTCCAGAAAGAAGTGGCAATAATGATGCTATCGTTAGAGACCCATTCGATGTTGCATGAAATTGAATACACAATAATCAACAATTATTCCACAGCTAATCTCATTAGCCAATGATCGATTGTTTCCGAATGAAATATGAATAAACCGAAAAAGACATTAGAGACTTTCACACTAGTGCTTCATGTCTCGATGAAAACTTTTGCATTTGCGTCAGCCCGAATGGGTCTATTGATGAATATTACGTACTCATTTCTAGAAAAACGCCACACATAGTTACGACCATTAACATTGATGGTGGCACACCTGTTCGTAGTTATTTTACTAAAAAACATCTGAAAAAAAAATATTTTTCCCGAGCTACCTTTCACTGACTTTTAGCCTCTTTTTGATATCGGCGAAGACAGTGTAAAGTCAATTCTCTATTAACTAGTGCTTAACTTGATACGATACAGTTTTGCCTTTCCATCTGCGACAAGAGCAACTCTCACGCCCCAAACTTTCCGTTTGCTTCAGTAATATCTTGACATACGCACGCTGGCGCATGGACTAATTGTTAAATAAACATTTTAACTTTCGCCTCTGTTAATGACGCAAATGGTGTGAAGTCATATTTGTATTCACCGCCAACTTTCTATAACGTAACGGTACAACCGCGTCTTCCCGTTTGAAAACGCGCTAATTACCTACTATCCTATGTATTTGTAAGAGACGCTTGTTCAAATTAAGGTCCACCAAATTAAAAACAAATATATTTTTTTAAGACCGTAACTGGAAACCAACCTTTGTTTTTTCAATAAAAAAAAGGTAAGGGAAAGACAGCTTACCAGATAAAGATAAATTTCATACACCATTAAGTGTTTTCTTTTATCCATTTTATTTAGAAGTTCCTCATATTGATCGGCCTATGTTTAAAAGCTGTTTAGTCAAACAAGGTATAAACCATTCTCCGACGCTAGCCGTATAATGTATGAAAATGTTGCTGTTTCTTCTCTACTACACTGCTCTACTATCGTTGTCTGCTCGACAGGTTGAACCCGTAGATTTTAAAGCTTGATCAGGATAATGGGTATACAATGACCGACAGGATAATGGGGATGTAAAAAACACATTATATTATGACAATTTATTATATAGACACAAGTGTTTTACTGGAAAATATACCACTCGTAAAATTCATAAAAACTACATCCGGGACCCGAGTGGTTTATTTTCCATAATCTCACACGTGAGTTTATCGATGACGTAATTTTGGTAATCATTTTATCGATGTCATTTTGTCTATATAATGAAAAGAACATTACACGGCGGCTTGAAGATATGAATTTTATTTTCGAGTGGCAAAACAATATTTTACTAACTCGCTGGGCTCGTTCGTAAAATATTGTTTTGCCACTCGAAAATAAAATTCATATTTTCTTGCCACCGTGTAATACGCTCTATAGGAATTCAAAAAGTACCAGCTCACTCCACAGACCAATCCCACAGAAGAGTACCTAACAACTCTTGCTGCGACGAAACAAATATGGTGAGTTAACAGCCACAGAAACGACCCACACTGTAAAATTTGCAACAATAAAAATTGTTGCAAAATGCATCTGAGAGAATCCTGTTGTTTTAGACAGATTGGCTTGAAATAACTGGATTCTTTTGATTTGAAATAACTTATTTAAAAGCAGTTAAAAAAAATATTAATAGGGTTATTGTGACTTTTCTGTTTGGTTGTTTTTAGTTCAATATTATGTTGTTTTAACTATGGTAGTTGTAACCAGTTTCTTTTAAGTAAGAATGACTAACTTTTTTTGGTTGAAATAACACACTTCATTTAATTAGAGACCATTTCAAAGTAGGTAATTCAACTGTTTAAAAAAACTACCCGGGATGCATCTCAGATAACCCATTTTCTTTAGATATTTCTCGTTAATATAACTAAAAAGAATAGGTTACAAGAAAATGTTAATTTAACATAAAATAGTCAGTAGAATTAGATACTGTAAAAGAGTTAAAATGACACATTTGATAGACCATATTGACAAAGAAATTCGGTTTCATCTTTATTGAGCGTACATTTATGCAATCGATTGAATACATTCTGATCAGTAAAACGGCGTCCTAGAACGGAAAATAGGGACCTTACGATCCGACGACGGCGACGGCAACGGCAACGTGAGAAGTCTGGGTCGAGCGGGGCCACGTCGTGTTGGCGTTCCCGCCAAAATTGAGATTACGAATTTTACGAGCGAGAACGTTGACGACGGTCATTGATGTTTATCGTGTTTAAGTCAACGAAAGTTTTTTAGAAAGCCATGCCAAAGTTCCGTGACACTATTCTCCTGGCTCATGCTTCCGGTTTGACCAACGCTGAAGAATTCTTGCTACTCTACGACTTACACAAGCCTAAAAACCCGGATTTACCGTACACTAACTACGAGTGCTTCGATCTCGACAAGATGACCGATGATGAATGTAAAACTGAGTTTAGATTTTACAAGAATGACATTTACAACTTGGCAGAGGTGTTTACTTTACCGGATCGGATCGTTTGCTACAATGGTGTAAATGTCGACATGGTTGAGGCATTGTGCATTTTTCTTAAAAGATTTGCTTATCCCTGTAGATACGTAGACATGATACCCAGATTTGGAAGGCCAGAACCACAATTGTGTATGATCTCAAATGCTGTTATGAACAAGATGTATCAAACATGGAACCGCCTTCTCACTGATTTGAACCAGGATTGGTTAAGACCCGATCATTTAGAGGAGTTTGCCGTTGCCGTTCACAACAGGGGAGCTGCTCTTGACAACTGTTGGGGGTTTGTTGACGGTACTGTGAGGCCCATATGCCGACCAGGACAAAACCAAAAGTGCTTATACAATGGTCACAAAAAAGTCCATGCTATAAAGTTTCAATCTATCGCAGCACCCAGTGGCCTTGTTGCCAACCTGTTTGGGCCTGTCGAGGGAAAGAGACATGACAGTGGGATGTTAGCTAGATCTGGAGTGTTAAACCAATTGCAACGATTTTCAGTGGACACAAATGGGAACCCCTTATGTATTTATGGAGATCCGGCATATCCTCTTCGACTACAGCTGCAAGGACCTTTTCGAGGAGCTGGACTAACTCCCATACAGTCTGCATGGAATGAATCTATGAGTGAAGTCAGAGTTTCTGTGGAATGGATTTTTGGTGATATAATAAATTATTTTAAATTTCTGGACTTCAAAAAAAACTTGAAAATAAGTTTAAGTGCTGTTGGCAAAATGTATGTGACATGTGCCCTTCTTCACAATGCTCGTGTTTGTTGTTACGGATCCACCACATCAGACTACTTTGATGTTTTTCCCCCAAAAATTGGGGATTATTTTCACTAAGTCTGCCAAACAGGTTTTACAAAAGTTACATAACACTTTTCCTTGCGAACATTGAACTGCCTTTTACTAAAAAAAAATTATACAATCGAGAAAGGCTAACATATTGGAATTAAAGTGAAATAAATGCCACGAAAAACAAAGTATTAAATGAGAACAAATAATGGTGAGCAGTCCGGAATATCCCTAAATTTAAGGACAGGGCCAACTGGTCACGCGACACTTTTCAACCAATGAGAAGGCGCGCTTGTGTTTATCAACAAACAAATCAAAACATCGCCCCAGTGATAAAAAATTTTCAAAACAACGGACGGAGTCGGACAGAATCAGTCATCTTTTCGAGGTTCTCAGGCATATTTTTAAGACTTTTCATGATGAGGCACACAATTTTTTTAAGTGGACAGCGTATCGGAAGCCATATTGGAAGTGTCTCGTGAAATATTCAGCACATTTTGTGGCTTATTTCTTCTTTTATCTTTTAAACAACGCGTTGTATAGGAGAGATTTTGGTCCGTTTTCAAGGTGGGTGAACAAGTATCTATTATTTTTTCGATTCACAGATTTTTTACGAAGTTCTAGATATTTTTCCTCGATTGTCATATCGATTAACTTTTATCATGTTGAATGTGGGGATGGTAGACAACCTAGAATTTTGGTAGACAATTTTTGAATTCCGAGGTCCAAAACACGTACGTTTTCCACTCCCGGGTTTCTCACAAAAGCCGTGTTATCACTTTTTTTCGCATTAGTACGAGCCTTTGCCTTTTTTCTTTTCAAGGCCAAAACAACTTTATTAGTCTCATGGATATTCCCGTCCAACATCTCGCCTCAATTTGAAACAAGGCAAATCTCAATTGTAAATGCTGTATTTCGCTACTCATTGAACATGCACTGATTATCTGGGATAAAATTAAAACATTGCAGGTACTACAGCAAGCAAAGAAAGCACCAGATGCGTGAAGTCAACACGAAACAACACAAAAAAACAAACAAGAAAAATTAATAAATTTGAACTACTTTCTATTCTTGTTATGATGACTGGTTCTTTGGTTCTTGTCCTGTAGAAGTTAATAGGTAGTACCAATCGTGTTTTGTACGATCTCAACAAATTTTCACACTCCCTCTAAGGCTATTTTTCACGGGACCAGTTGCTTCAATCAAAAATCTTGCAAGCCATGCCAGTGAAGCCACGACCTCTGCGATCGGTCAGGAATCAGTTCGAACACCCCAATGATTCCTTGCAATGATTAATGCTCTTATTCTCTTACATGAAATGTTTTCTTTGAAATATTAAATGTGAAACCTAGACGAGTACTGTAAGCTCATCTTTAATTCTGTCCGACTCCGTCCGTTGTTTTGAAAATTTTTGATCACTGGGGCGATGTTTTGATTTGTTTGTTGACAAACACAAGCGCGCATTCTCATTGGTTGAAAAGTGTCGTGTGACCAGTTGGCCCTGTCCTTAAATTTAGGGATATTCCGGACTGGTGAGCATGTTTACAGAGTGTAATACAATTCTATAGTTGGATAAGCCCTATTACCTTGATAAAGGCTCAGCCCCAGTTTTGATACTGGCATAACATCAATTCGGCGACTTTCAAAGGTTGGCAAAATTAAGCAACATTTCCTTTACAACTATATATGTAAACAGGTAATTATTATTATAAATCTTTAATTTTTAACTTCCTTGAAAATGTTCAAGTTAATAAAAATGTGAACTCTTTGTGCATTTAAATCACCTCTTGCAGAGATTGACCAGCATCACTTCCCAGCAAACTTTTTCATTAGTTCCATAAGTGCAAGGGTTTGTTGTTGGTGCTGTTGCATCATGTTTGCATTCATTTGCATAAACTGCTGCATTTGTTGCTGCTGAAGCTGCTGAATTTCTCTAGTTTGCCTGTTCATCATATCAAACTGCTGTTGTCTTCCTTCCTGCTCCTTTGCTTGCGGTGCTAACTCTTGCCTTTTTATCTCCAATTCATCACGTTTTAAAGTAGCTTCTACGTCTGCCCTATCCTTCAGGTAAGCCAGAGTGCTTGCACCACTAGCTCTGATCTACCCTTTTTCGGTCTTGCTCCTTGATGTTCATCGGCATTCCTTTTGGCGCTATCTTTAAACGTTTCCAATGATCTCTTCCGCATTTCCTCTGCTTTCTTTGCTTCTTCTTCCTGCTTTTGTTTTGTTTGATCTGTGATTTTGTCAGACTCATCGAAGAGTTCAATGGTTTCATCTAACAGTTGATCTAGTTCCTTGTCCTCTTCAGGGGCAATACCTGAGGCTCTGTCTTCTTCCCTGACTTTTTTCCTTCTTCTCTTTTCCATTGTTGAATAGTGGTCACGAACAGACCGTTGAGTAACACGGAATTGGGGATAAGGAATAGCATTTAAGGATACTGCCAGCTTTTCCCAATCATCTCCTCTCTCACTAGTTCCTTTCTTGTGCAGCCATGGCTGCAAAAGAATCAGTTCCCTCAACATAAGCAATTCGTGTTCTTCAGTCCAATTCATTGATTGACTGAAAGTGCAGTGCAACAAAAATTACTTCATGAGGAAGAACTATCAGTATATCAGCAAAATTTGCTAACAATAAAATTATCATTGTATCTGAGATTTACTAGCACTTGGTCCTTATCATGATCAAAATTTTTAAAACAAATAACATAACTTGCTTTGGGTGGTATTAACTAGATCATCATAATATTAGACAATATCTTTGTTTTCTTTAGTCCTCCAATAAATTTGCTGAAGTTGTTGACAGATAAAGAAATGATCATGAGAATACATGATGGTTATCCTTTGCCTTCCGAATGAGGGAAACATACAATTAAGGTTGGAAGGACGCTTTCAAATGAAAACAGTCATGAATTACGTAGCACTTGGAGCAAAATATTGGGCAATCAATAAAGTTTGGATTTTGTAAAATAATTTTTATTTAATTAGGAAACAGTGGAAATTATGTGAACGTCTCTGTTTTGTATTTGTTTTTGATTCAGTTATAAATATAGCATTATTTGCGGTAGTCGGAATTCGTCGATATAACTGTTCAACCCAGCCAGTGAGTTCCTTGTAAGGTTAATCTACGATTATAAATGAAAATTAGCTTAATGAAAGTATTTATACACTTTGCATCGGTCGAATCTAGTACCGCTGCCGACAAAATCTCTCTACTATTTCCTAGTAAACCCAAAATAAAATTAAGCTTGATTGTTCTCTTTTTTTGATCGAGAAAAAAGTTGGAAAATAAGTGATAAGAAAGCTCAGTGATAGCGAGTGAAGTACAATCACAAACAAATACAAAGCAAAATACGTCAAATCTCTCTCCATTCAGTTTGTGGTCGTATACAAAAGACTCCACGCTCTGTTCGTTTCGGACATTTCATACAAACTAGTATTCTTTAAATTTAGTCGCAAAGTCTCGTTTTTACCTTGATTCCTTTGCCATAGTTGGGTTTTAATTTCCACGTTTTCGCACAACGCCAAACAAGGCTTCTAGACGTCCGCGCGTGAAGCGACACCGCCGTCTCAGAAATCTTCTCATGCGCAGTACGTAACCGGAAGTAAAAAAGTCCCACGTCGCTGTCGCCGTTGTCGGATCGTAAGGTCCCTAGTAACTAATGCAAGAGGGAAGACAAATAGAATACTGTGATCAGAGAGATCAAATTTGCCGGAATAAAACATACACACACAAATGACAAGTCGCAATTACTCAGTAGAGCAAAGCAATGTCCACTACAAAATTAATTAAATTTTATTCACTAAATCGTTGAGCTCAGAAACAAAATGCAATCAGAAAGTCATTATAGCAATCAAAGTGATTAAGGCCGGTCTAAGAAAGCTGAAGTAAGTTTGCGGCGGAATAGCTATATATATACATCTAAGCCTGTTAAGGTTGTATGTACAACATCCAATAACCATTTATACAAAAGCAGATAATTATGATCCAAACATTAACATTTACGATGACACGTCTCTTTTTACTACTCTTTTTTACACGTTTCTAATTCTCACTTTTAAAAACAACTGAACCAACACTAATTCTAACTTGGCTTGATCTCAGTAGGAATACATAGAATAATCCCGAGAATCTGCCGTTCTACTGACCTGCTATTCCAGTTCTGAAATAAGTAAAATATATTCCAAATACTGCTCTAGGGAGCAGAATGTTTGCAATTAAAATGAAATAATGGCGCCATTTCCTTACGCCAGCACGTTTTCACAACAACAGCAACAACAACAACAACAACAAAACGAGTGGTGGATCACTTCGCCAGGCAGTCACAATAGACTCAGCATATAAACTATATAGGAAAAATAAGGCATTCCACAGAAAAGGCTATCGCTGAAACAGAGAAAAAAACACTCTGACTTAGCATTTTTCCACAAAAAGAAAAGCGAGAAAGCTAGCTACTGAATTTCATACTCGGCTTCGAGTTCAGGGTAGCCCGCATTTCAAACAGTTTACCGGCGCTCGGTAAATATCTTATTCACCGCTTGCACGTCTCCCATAATGCACCTTATTCCCCTCCCCCTCCCCCTACCCCATTTCTCCTGGGTCTTACAGCCGTCCCAAGAGAGATTGTATGCTGCATAAATTTTCGGTATTATTAACTTTTACACTAAAGTTATTAATATTGGTCGGTTTTTTTCAAGAATCACTTCGATCAGGCTTAGATTTCACTTAACCTTGCACTGCACCACACCAATTCACAAGTTTCCTAAAAGCTTGGCGATAGTTACTGGTAAAGGTAAGGCAGATAATCGGATTGATAGCACAGTTTGTGTAAGCCATAAACAAGGAGACATTATAAGATACCCAAAACTTACAATCCAAAGTGTTTTTTGGTACAAAATAAAATGTTACTACCTGAATGGAAAAGGGAATCCAGCAAATGAAAAACGCTACAACGATAGCAATGGTCATTTTAAGCACATTTCTGTTTGTTCTTGTCCTCTGTTCCTCAGCGTTGGTTGACTGTTCACCTGGATGGACTTGCTTTTTAAGCTTGATCAGGATGATGGAGTAAAGTATCGCCAAGACGACAAAAGGGATGTAAAAGGAAAAGATATAAGTAGATAGGAGGTAAATAGCAAGTGAGCTTTTCTCTGCGAAGATCACCTCCCACTGATTCATGCACCTCTTTCCTTCTTGGTATTCAACAAGATTGAAGGTAAAAAAATTTGGCGAATGAAAGGCCGCTGCGAGTATCCATGTACCAACAATCAAACAGCGACACACCTTGCGACTGATGAGGGGTGAACGGAGTGGAACTACAACTGCTGCATATCGATCCACTGTTATCAGAATCAGGCTCTGAATCGACACTAACGAGGAGTTATCAGCAAGAAAAGCGTGTATCTTACACCAGGCCTGACCAAGGGTACCACCAATAAGCCACGAGCCAACGTGCAAATCTGTCAGTCGAACGGGGAACAAGAATACTGGATAGAGCAGGTCGGACATGGCCATATTTGCGATCAACATATTGATCGGTTTTCTTAAAATTGGTGTTTTGTAAACAGTTAATATGATGAGAGAATTTCCAACCAGCGAGACTGCAAGGATTAAACTATAAGCAACTGTTTTTCCAACTTTTATTGCTTCTGGATATATCAGACTGCAGTAGCTCGAGAAACTTGATCCATTTGCTGTTGTGTTCATGGTTACTGGTTCTTCGGCAGGTCTTTTTGTTTGAAAACACCTTTTGGCGGTTCTTTGTCCTTTATATTCTACCAATTATTGTGTAAATAAAGGCGTAGCCCCTTCAAGCTCTCTCAGATAATACCTAAAAAAAAAGAAAATGCAAATATCATTCCTGACCAGAAGGAAGTGGCAATAATGATGCTATCATTATAGATCCATTTTATATTGCAGTGAATTGAATACACAATAACCAACAATTATTCCACTAGAGCGCGCGTTGGATACTTGCCTATACATGTCCCGTTGGCCAAAAAATTATCCCATATCCAGGAAGCGGGAGTGGAATGATTGTTTTATTTAAAACACTCATAAAATATCAATGATCGATTCTTTCCGAACTAATATGAAAATATGAATAAACCGAATAAGACATTAGAAACTTCCACATTAGTGCCACATGTCTATCACAATTTTTTCTTTTGCTTCAACGCCAAATTAACGGACCTATTGATGAATACTCATTTCAAGAAAAGGCCACAAATAGTTATGATCTGCGTGACCATTAACATTTATGGTAGCACACCTGTTCGTAGTTGATTTGCTATTTACTCTCACTCCCGCCCAAACTTTCCTTTTGCCCGATATCTTGACATACGCACGCTGACGCATGAACTAATTGTTAAATAAGCATTAACTTTCGCCTCTATTTGTTAATGACGCTAACGGTATAAAGTCATATTTGTATTAATTGGCATTTTTCTATGACGATGCAACTTCGTCTTCTCGTGTGAAAATGCGCTAACCTCCTATCCTATGCATTTTTAAAAGACTAAGACCCCAACTGCAAACCAGCCTTTGTTTTTTCATGAAAAAAAAAAAAAAAGTTAAAGGAAAGACCGCAGCTTCCCAAATAAAGCTAAGCTTTATAGACCATCAATTGCTTAATTTTATAGCTGTCATTTTCGAATTTCTTTATATTGATCGGTCTCTGTTTAAAAGCTATTTAGTCAAACACGGTATAATTTTTTTTCCTTCATAAAAACATTTTAGGTTGATGGCAACTTTATTGCAAATTACCGCATCTTGTGAAAAACCTGTGTTCCTGTTTTTCGTGCCCGTTTTCATTTTTTAAAACATGGTTTAATTAAACATGTCTAGTTAGTTTGAATGAGGCACCACGGGGCACCTAGACAAGTCATCTTCTCCTTCTAAAGAGGACCGTTCTTTGAACTACTGTAAGTTATGAATGAACATAAACAAAATAATAAACAGAGAAGTCATTTTTTGAAAAATTTATTTGAAAACCCGGATGTTCCTGTACTCAAATGAAATTCGCTTTACATTTCTAGCGTAATGTGTCCGTAACTGAACTAAAATTTTTAATCGATGTGATAAGAACACAACAAAGCTGTCTCGAATCTGAGCGTGCTTCCTAAAAAATCTACTTGAATTTAACATCAGTTCGACTAAAACGCCAATAACAGGATGCTAATTGATAAATTTCCATCTTAAAACAGTTTTTCCATCCTATAAAAGCACACAATATATGCCTTAAATCTTCTCTCATTCGGTTTTTCTTCTGGCCGATCTTATCCGCGAAGAAAACAGTGATAAATTCATCCAGGGCAAATTTGTCGCTTGATCTTTTGACGTTTTTCTTCAAAACGACAAATAAGTATTTTCTTTAACTTCCACTTTTCATTTGTACATTTCATCGGTGCATTTTACTGACAGGAGAGGAGATTAGCTGAATTTGCCTCAACTTTACCGCGCTAGCTCAGTTTTTTGGCGTGTACCCACGGGCAAATGGTAGATGGCTAACTGACCAATCAGAGCGCGCGCTTAACTTTTGTTATGTTATAATTAA